TATTATTATTATTATTATTATTATTATTATTATTGTTGTTGTTGTTGTTGTTGTTGTTGTTGTTGTTGTTGTTGTTGTTGTTGGTAGTAGCAGTAGTAGCAGCAGCAGTATCAACAACAACAACAATAACGATAACGATAATGATAATGATAATATATTTCTATTTCACCCATCTAGACCAAAAGTCTACTCTTACACCTAGGCAGAAAAAATTGATATAGGATGGAAGACACCTGGCTAGACAACAGCACCTGTGAAAGGGATCGAGGAGTCTTGGTGGACCACAAACTGAACATGAGTCAGCAGTGTGATGCGGCTGCCGAGAAAGCCAATGCAATTCTTGGTTGCATCAATAGGAGTATAGTGTCTGGATCAAGGGAATTGATAGTACCACTCTATTCTGCTTCGGTCAGACCTCACCTGGAGTATTGTGGCCAGTTCTGGGCACCTCAATTCAAGAAGGATGTTGACAATCTGGAACGTGTCCAGAGGAGGGCGACCAAAATGGTCAAAGGTCTGGAAGCCGTGTCCTACGAGGAGCGGCTTAGGGAGCTGGGAATGTTTAACCTTACAAAAAGAAGGTTAAGAGGGGACATGATAGCCATGTTTAAATATTTGAGGGGATGTCATGTTGAGGAAGGGACAGGTTTGTTTTCCACGCCTCCAGACACCAGGACAAGGAGCGGTGGCTTCAAACTACAGGAAAAGAGATTCCACCTGAATCTCAGGAAGAACTTCCTGACGGTCAGAGCTGGTCGGCCATGGAATGTGCTGCCTCAGAGTGTGGTGGAATCTCCTTCTTCGGAGGTTTTTAAGCAGAGGCTGGATGGCCATCTGTCGGGAGTGCTTTGATGGAGTTCCTGCATGTCAGGGGGTTGGATTCAATGGCCCCTGAGGTCTCTTCCTATTCTATGATTCTATGATTTATGCAGAAACTACCATAGTGATTTTTTTTATATTAAACTATGGTTAGCTACCTAAATCCCCTCAGCCATAAGATAATACAAATGCAGAAGTTGATTCCTTGTTGCTTTGTTTTCTGGAAGTATATTCAGTCCAAAGCTAAACCATACTGATAGGTGGGAAATGCTCTCAAGAGTTCAGGAAGTAATCAGAAGAATACAGTAGTCAGTGTTTAGATCAAGACCATTCTATGAATCAGTGCATCGCTGGGTTGATCTAATCCAGGCAGGAAGGAGGCAGAAGCAGGGCCAGTAAGCAGTTCGGGTCAGATCAAGAGAAGATCTAGCGAGCAGCAGCAAAACAAGGAATGATGGGAGCAGGACTCAAGGCAGGCACCATAAAAACATTGGCCTCAGAACTGAACTAGGGTTTGGAATGTGTATTTATCCACATGGTGTGGGTGACTCTGCTTTGGACAGCCTCGGCAAATTATAGCATTTTATTGAACAGTATTTGAGATGCTAGGATCCTCAGGTGTTGGAGGATGTATTCCTCTTTGAAGGGACCAAGAGTGTTCTTCTTCCTCTTCCAGAGGGAGAGAGTCCGGTATGGAAGGGCCAGAGCTGGTAGTTGGGGGCTTCCAGCACTTCCTCTCTCTCCCCCCCCCATCCCTCCAACTCATGTCATCCTGGCTTTTACCCTCCACTGAGGATTCTGCCAGGTGGGTCACGGAACTGCATCGCCAAAGTCCTTTCCATCCAGGAAGTTCCACAATTCTACAAAGTAACTAAGAAAGATGTTGTCTTCAGACGCCGTCCTTTATGGCTCAGATTCCACTGACCTCTCTGTATATTCTTGCAGATGTCGGCCCAGTCCTAAAGACCAGCAGTGTGGATGAACTTGAGTCCTATATCTCTGACCTCACGGCTACTGGGGGTGGTGACTGCCCAGAGATGTCATTAACTGGACTGAAGTTAGCACTGCAAGAAAGCTTGCCAAGGTAAATAGCAACCCCTTGAAATCCCCCCACATACACACACCATACATCCCAATGCATTTCCTCCCACATCCTTTCCCTGTCGTGTACTATTGCTTGGCTTGTGCTCCCTCAAAAGCCTGCTGTTCTTTTTGCACTGCTTTACCCATTGTCCGTCCCTGCCTCTCATGCCTGAAATGTCTTCCCAAAGCACTCACATGGTGCTGCCTTTCCGAAACATAGAATGGGTGTAGGTTGTTTTTTCTTTTTTGGACTACAGCTCCCAGACACGTACACCAAGCCAGTCTGGCTGGTTGTGAAGTTGCCACAGACCAGAAATAATTTCATTCATCCATCCTTAAAGGGATACAGCTAGACCTATGGTTCCCAAACTTGGGTAACTGAGGTGTTCTTGGACAACAGCTCCTGGGATCCTTCACCACTAGCTATGCTGACTCAATTTCTGGGAGTTACAGTTCAAAAACATTTGGGTTACCACTGGTCTAGATTACGTGAGGGACTATGTTCTCACATGAAAGAGACCCTTGTCCAGCAGGCCGAGGCCAAGAGGCAGTCCCGAAACCAGCAAAACCAGGGAGCTGGACAGGGGACAGACTGGATTTGTCTTCAGTGTGGAAGGGATGGTCACTCTCAAATGGGCCTCCTCAGCCACTAGACGCTGTTCCAGGACCTCTATTCAGAGCACATTACCATAGTCTCCTGAGACTGAAGGATCCCTATATGTTCTCTGTACTGAATGTAGCCCCCAGCACCCTTGGGATCCCAGATTTTATTTTTAAAAAGTGAAAAACAATAATAAGCTCCAAAAACTCTCTCATGCCTTCCAGAGATGAGTGGCCATTTGCAATATTCTGAGGAGTCCCCATTATTCCTGGGATCTACCACATCCTCCAGTTTTTTTTAAAAAAAATCTTTTTTTCAAAGCAGTGCTTCCCAACCATGATGGTTCCTCAGATGTTCTTGGACTACAACTCCCAGAAATCCTGGCCAGCACTGCTGGTGGTGAAGGCTCCTGGGAGCTTTAATCCAAGAACATCCAGGGACCCAAGATAGGGGACCACTGTTTTAAAGAAATATGCTTTGATGATTACAGGGTACCCTAAGATTTTTTCATTTAACCCCCCCCCACACACACACATTTAAAGGGAAAAAATGGGGGATTTCATGTGAGAAAGTAAGGCCCTCCACTGAACACGGATAACTTCAGGCACTCCCAAAACGTCTGGAGAATGTCAGCCTCTGCTTTAAAGTCTAAACACCCACCTCCATCCATTCCCAGCTGGTGCCAGCATTCATGGGCAGCCGCTGAGAATTTATATGTGCATGGTATGTTTTCCTGTGTGTTGCACTTATGTAACACACGGGAAAGAATGAGAAGATTTCCATTTTTTCTAGGTCAAAGATCTTCACCTTTACTGACGCTGGGGCTAAAGATGCTGAGCTGATGGACGAGATAAAAGTTCTGGTAGACTCTTCTGGATCCGAGGTGAACTGTGCCCTCACAGGGTATTGTGCCAGCCGCAAACGCAGAAGTACGTAGATCGTGGCAAGGAAGAGGATCTGCCCAAAGAAATTACAGTGGTGCCTCGCTTAACGAGCGCACCGTACAACGACGAAATCGCATAGCGATCCCTTTTTTGGGATCGCTAATGCGATCGCTCAACGTTGTTTAGATAGGGCGAAACTCGCTTTGCGCAGATTGGCAAGCATTTCGCTTACCGATCTTCGCAAAACGAAGCCCAACGATCAGCTGTTCGGCGGACAAAATGGCCGCCGGAAGCCCCGAAATGGCTGCGCGCAGCGCTTTCGCGCCCTCGTTAAGTGAGGGGAGGGCGCGAAAATGGCTGCTGGCCATCCCGGAACATCACTGAAGGGTGAGTTTTCGGCCCATTTGGAACGCATTAAACGATGTTTAATGCGTTCCAATGGGTTTTTTTGATCCGTTCAGCGATGTTTCGCTATAGCGAAGGTTAATCCAGAACGGATTAACCTCACTATGCGAGGCACCACTGTATTTGAAGAACAGTTTTTACTGCAGTCAGGAGCCAGATTAGATATTTCCTCCCTGAACCTGGGTGTGAGACCGCCTTCCTTCGTGTGCGGCTCATCCTCCTTCCCAGGTTGAGCTCCTGGCCTGCTCACCTGGGCCTTCATTCTCAGGCAGATGGGCTAGATCCCTTCTCTTCTGCCACTGCCCTGGGGCTGCCTCCAGGCCATGGCACCTTGCAAGGAGGTGGATCCAGAGAAGGTGGCTCTCGTCCTCTACTCATCCCCACCCCTGGTGGCTGGGCCTATTCACCCCCTGCGGGAAGAAGGTGGAGGGGTGTGGGGTGGGCCCAGGCCACCTGTCGTGAGGGCAGTGACAATGCAGGTGTGGGTGGCGTCGCCTTCCTCCCACCAGCCCCCCTTTCCACAGCCTGCTGATTGATAGAAACACTGCCAGGAGAGGAATGATTTTTTAAAGGGCAAGAAATCTACCCTTTTCTCTCCACAGGTGTCCCCGAGCCGGCAGCTTCAACGAGAAGTTTTGCCAATCTTTATGAAGAGCTAGCTTCTTATTCCGGAGGCTACTACGCGCTGACCACCAAAAGCCAACTTTCCCAGATCCTGGGCATCATGGAGCTTTCGTTGAATGCCGCCCCTGTGAAGGTGGCCCATAGCCGGCTGGACGGCACACGATTCTCCTTCCCAGTAGACGAGACCCTCACTGAAATCAGTGTCTCAGTCAAGAGCTTAAGCTCCGCTGGATTCACCATGAATGTAGAGGAGCCTTCAGGTAAGATTTACTGGGGGGGGGGGCGCAATGGGGAAAGCGGCACGTGTGGCTGTAAAAGACGGGTCTCTGTCTTTGCTTATTTCATTCTCACAGGCAAGAATAAAAAACATTATGACTGTTGCATTTGTATTTGTAGCTGTGGGATCAGCTTTTAACGCCCTGATCACCACAATCACCCAATCGCCTGAAAAGGACAAAAAGCTGATCCCACAGCTACAAATACTCATCTCTCCCACACACTACACCAGAACACAGACAGAGTTCGAACTCCTATCCTCTGAAGATGCCCATGGCCACAGAGACTGGCGAAACGTTAGGAAGAAAAGCCTCCAGAACACGGCCAGACAGCCCGAGAAACCTACAACAACCATTG